AACTATCCACTGGGGCTTTGGGGGGAAAAAATAAAATAAATAAAATCTAAAAAAAAAAAAAAAATCACAATCACTTGCCAGATTTTTGGACCTGAGCAGTTTTAGAACTGGAACTCATTGACTGATAAAGACAATGGGTCCTCCAGAGGAAAAATCCTATAACATCATGGCACATGTACATGCTAATGATTCCCTCAATTCTTCCCAAAGAGACAACAATCTTTCTGAAATAATTGTTGATTTTCTCTGTTCCCAAAAGATATAATTGAATACATACACTTTTTCATTGGCACAAACCACAAAAGACGTTCTCAGCCTATGGGATAAGGTCTATCATAGAGGGAAAGCCCATACAGAAGCAATTTTCACTAGTTTCTTAGGGCTGCTGTATCAAATTACCACAAACTTGGTGGCTTAAAACAATACGAATTTATTGTTTCATAGTTGTGGAGGCAAGAAGTCTGAAGTCAAAGTGCTGTCAGAATCCATTCCTTCCTGATGCTTTGAGAAGGAATCCATTCCATGCCTCTCTCCTACCTTCTGGCCGCTGCTGACAATCCTTGGTGTTCCTTGGCTGTGGCTTCCCTCTAATCTCTGTCTTTCTTCACATCACCTTTTCCTTTGTGTGTCTCTAATTTCCCTCCATCTTTCTTCTTATAAGGAGACTCAACATTAGATTTAGAGTCCATCCTAAATTCAGTATGAACTTATCTTGATACTCTTAACTTAACTAATTTGCAAAGGCCCTTTCTCCAAATAAGGTCACCTTCATAGGTTTTGGAGGTTAGGACTTGGACATATTTTGGGGGGGACCACTATTGAACCCATTATTTCCTTGAAATAACTTCCTCCCAACACTCCTCTAACTTTGTAGTCAAAGTACAAATAGAAAATAATATCACAATTCTGAGGAGGGTTCAAATTAAAGATCTTAAAGATTTAAAAGATGCAGGATGATGAATTCTATTATATCTCCATTAATTAACAGTCTGACCACTGCAAAACCAACAGATCCTAGAGACTGATAAGAGACTCTCAAAAACTCGAGCGAGTAGTTGCTCCACTCTCAGCCTCTGTGCCAGATGTAGTATCTCTGCTAGAGCAGAAAATACTCATCTTCATGGATATGCAACTCATCTTCGTGTACATACATGTATGAGGTCGTTGTTTTTGTGAATGTGTTCTCTTCTATCCCTATCTGAAAGGAGAATCAAAAACAGTTCTCCTTGTCTTGGAGCAGACAATGGCATAAAATTACAGTTTTGCCTTGGGTCTATATGAAATAAACTTTCTTCTCTTCCCTTTTGATAACCCAAAGACATATAAGTTCTCTGGACATCCTTCAGAAAATTGCACTAACTCACCTTGTTGATGATATTACACAAATCGGAAAAGACGAGCAAGAAATAGCTAGTATTTTGGTGGCCTGTGAAGACATGTGAGCTCCAGAAAGTGATAGAAAAAGGTTATGAATATTAAAGTATCTACCACATCAATAAATTTGAGATTCAATCATCAGGGTTTTTTGAGGACATCATTTCCAAATAGAGGACAGATTTTCACATTTTGCCTTTCCTCCCACAAAGAAGGAAGACAGTAAATTATAGGCCTTTTTCAGGAATCGAAGGAAATATATTCCATACTCTGGCTCATATACCAGGGAACACAAAGACTACTAGCTCTGAGTGGCCCTAGAGCAAGAAAGGACTCTGCAGTAGATCT